TTGTTTTAGTCAGCAATAGATGTTTTATATAACTCCAACACACGCTCCCCACGATCACGGGCGAGATGTTTCACTGTGTAACAGATCATGGACGGCTGCTGAGTGATAGCTTCATTAACAAAGACAGAGGAAAGAAACGACACAAGCTAACAAAGACTGTACTATTTCTGCATCAATAATACTAAGTTTTTAAAAATCTCATTCGAAGAGTCCAAAGGTGCTGTTATCTCTCTTTTTTATATTTGAAATAATTGTGCGCTCTACTTTGTGAAAACAGGAAACAAAATTATTGCAATCAATAATAGGGGTATTATTATTTATAGACCAAGACATAATACTGTTAGCAATCAGATAAACCTGGCATCGACCCTCTTTTGTGTTCGCTGTTCCTTACACATAAAGCTAGTTATGGCACACGCCTAGAATCATGCACTCAAATCTTAAAGTCAGTTTAAAAAATACATGTTTCACCATTTCTTATTATAATTAAATCTTTTAGTGTCTTGAAAGAGTATCTTTATAATTTGGTATGTTTGATAATTCTATGATACTTGGATAAGTTTTCTTCTCATTTTGCCGATCTTCTTAATTTTTAAACTAGCTATATAACACAAAACTCTTAAATAATTGAAGAGTCCCTAGGCTTTCTCAGTTGCCTAGAACAGTCCGTATCACACACATAATTTTTTTTCTCCCTGTCATTCTATCCGTCATCCATCCCGTCAGTTGATCACAATCTCTCTCTCTCTCTGTCTCTCTGTCTATCTCTCTCTCTTTTATTTAATTTTCCCCATTCTCCTTCGTCCCTTCCCAAGGCCCGCCCTCCTCTTTCAACTCAGTCCTATCCCCTCTTCCTTGCGTGCATTTCCCCACCCCGCCCACCCCCCACAACGTGACCCAGCCCGATAAGATTCTATAAAAAGAAACACCACAGTTCGTGATTTAGACCACAGTCGGCGGCCATATTTGATCCCCACCGCGGTATGCTGCTCATTGCGCCGCGAAGAGAGAGGGGAGGCTCCATTAGTTCTAAACTCCTTGTATAAAACTCGCAATAAAACTAAACGAAAAATAAAGTGCCCACCAACCATCAATACGCTTGTATTATATTATTGTAAATACCTATCACCCCTACCAACGCTGTCAGGTTGTGTTAAAAAGAATGACCTCTGAGTGTACTATCTACTATCTATCGCCAACAGGAGCAAACCAAGTGGGTGAAGAGTTTTGAAAACTCCCCAAACAACCTAAAACAGTATGCTGGGCACTGTTGATTTGAACCAACGTCCTCTCCGTTGTACTCCAGAAAGATACCAAACAGAGCTAACGGTACCCAACTGCTCACGCCATCCAGAAAAAAAGCGAATAAGAAGCTAAGATGATGTA